TGGATATGTATGAAGGTATATATTGAGATATTTGATAGTGAATTATTTATATTAATGAGATGTTATACTATGATGATTTATGTTTTGCTTGAAAAAAATTTTGAGTTATAATATGATGAATTATTGTGATGTACTTGAGTTACTTGTGTGTTTTGAGAAGTCTAAACAATGACTTAGTTTGGTAAAAATCTAAGTTATGTTTGGTCATTTCAATAGTTTAAACAGTAGCTTAGTGGTGTAAAAATAATGACTCTTACTTTGTTGTGGTCAAGCATAAGACTTATTTTGGTTAGTCCTACTCTTTCAACTCAAGGAATCACCTAACTGGCTCCTAAAGACTTTGCATTCGCCCACCTCAAGTCTCTCAATTATCTTGACCTTCTTTACCAAGACAGGAAACTCTTTAATGGATAAAGGTACCACTAGAAATTTCAGTTATAGCCTTAAACCTTCCTCAAATCAAGCATTATCTGGGAAATATTTCTCCAAAAATTTCCTACCAAAGTTTTCCCAATCCACTATCTCTCCACTGGTAACCATCATCTACTAAGTTCCCATTGACAATAACTAAGCCTCCTATCTTCAGGACATAAGATAACCCTAAAAATCTTCTCCACCTCTCACAGTCACTATTATGTTGCATCTAGTCCTGCACTATTACTAAATTTAGGAGGACTATACCTCATAAACTCAATTATTCTCATCTAGTCCATCTGATAATAAGGAGTAAATGAAGTCACCATCCTCATTCTAACATTTCCTCACTACTGGAATGAAGTCTGGTGTTGTTGAGCCATTATAACACGTTGTTGCATAACCATTATCATCATCTCCTGATGTGAACATGACCTATGATAAGGGCTAGAACAAGGGAAACAAAGGAAGCTCTTCAACAAGTATTGTTGGTTGAACAAATTGTGTTTTGATCAATTAATGAGCTTTAGTTTGATTTTGTTTTAAGTTGTAATAAAGACCCAATTGAAAATTTAGTCATCAGCCTTTGGGAGACCAAGGGGTGCATAGCTGATTGACTTTTGGTTGCCACAGTTTCAGATACAATCAGTCATTAAGTAGTTTCAATTCCTAAGTTAATGGATCATTATTAGCCTTTATTTGTTTCCATTAAATAGTTTTTATTTATTAGCCATTATTAGCCTTTATTAGCTCTGATACCAACTGATATGAATCACAAGGGGTGATTTAGGATCTTTAAGGTTAGAACCTTGTAAAAAATTTAGTAATTTAGTGATAAGGTGGAAGGAAAGAATCACTATTCCCAAGGGAGGCAACACACAAAGGATGTGACAGTCCTTTGATACAGCCAAGGGTTCTTGAATCACTCAAGAATTTAGGAGAATCACTCTCACTAAGATAAAAGAGATAAACTCTAATATTTCTGAATAAAATTTCACTTGTTATTTATTGATAAGAATGGTTCAGCTGATATAGAAGCGTTGCCATCAGAATTACAAAAGACTCAATAAAAGAAAATAAATACTAATAATAACCCATTAATCTAGGAATTAAAAACTATTTAATGGAAACAAATAAAGGCTAATAATGATCCATTAACTTAGGAATTGAAACTACTTAATGACTAATTGTATCTGAAACTGTGGCAACCAAAAGTCAATCAGCTATGCACCCCTTGGTCTCCCAAAGAATGATGACTAAATTTTCAATTGAACCCTTATTACAACTTAAAACAAAATCAAACTAAAGCCCATTAATTGATCAAAACACAATTTGGTCAACCAACAATACTTGTTGAAGAGCTTCCTTTGTATCCCTTGCTCTAGCCCTTATCATAGGTCATGTTCACATCATCTCCATGGCTCTAGCTAACATGTTGTCCACGTTCAATGAGAGAGGGGATGAGGTAGGAGGTTTAATGGTTTGAGTGTCATCCTTCATTAATAAACAATATCAAGTTAAGGGAAAAATAAATCAGTACCATCTAACTTAGCAAACACACATTCACAACCAAAGCACAACAAGCGCACTTGCCTCAGGTCAAACAAGGATACAACCAACTTTGGTATCATAATTGTAACGACCAAAAATTGCTACTATCATAATATACCGTGTTGAGAAGTAACTTGCATTGACTATATATAAGGAGGGTACATAATTTTAACAAATATTTAATACAAAAATAATCTTTACTAGTATGGGATCAAGTTACCAAATACTAATAAACATGTGTACAAACATTGTATTACAACTATATCTTAGACTAGACGTGTCATCCAAATGTAATATTTGTATTTGTAATATCATCTGCTCTCATGTAATCAACATAATCATAATAGTCAAGTCATACAAACAAGAGTAATTTAATTATTCAAATAAGAATTACTCACTACACATGTGATATTTCATAATTATATTGGAAAGTATAATTTAGAGTTTGAAGTTACTTTTTATAATTTTTAAAATTCATACAAAACATACCCTAAAACTTTACTTAAGCAAAAATTTAGCCATATCAATTCTCTTATTTGGATTGAGTAAAATTAAACCAGTTTGATTTTCACTTGAGTGAAAATTAAATTAACTTGACTCTCACTTGAGTGAACTGTCACCACTTTAGATCACCTCTTCCAATACTTTGTCTTTGCTCAAGCAACTTGGATTTCGCTTAAGTAAAAATGGAGCCAAGAAACAAGGTTTTTCCACTTTTAAACTTTTTCTCATCTCAATACTCAATTATATAACTCATTTATATCACAATTATACAACAGGAACATCATACACTAAAATACCATAAATATACCTTTCTACTTTCATTAGAATACATCAAACTCTCTCTCTCTCTCTCTCTCTCTCTTTATATATATATATATATATATATATATATTTCCTATTTAGATATATTATTGTGACTTGAATATTATTGAATCTTAACTTCTTTATGTACATATATAACTGATAATTAATAATTCAATTTCAAAATCTGAGTAAGACTCTCGTATAACTAAGATATATCTTATTTTAAATTTATAAATAACCAAAATCATAAAATAAAAAATGACTTACTCATTCAAATATTTATTAGAACATCATCCTTCTACATCACTTAAACTTTTTCTTAGGTCTTAAATCAACCAAAGTTTAGTACACTAAAATTAGAAAAAAAAAAACTAATTTTAATCTTACTAATATTTTATGATATACTTTTATTTAAATTATATTTTAGATAAAAAAAATTAAATGAGTTTATTTTTGAATAATAATAAATTAAAAAAATAAAAAAAATATCAATATGTAATAGAAACTTTCAAACGGGTATTATTATGTCAAATAACGAACAAGTTTTTATATTCGAAGCGGTTATAAATTAGCTACTATTACACTAACGAGGTAGTTGTTAATTTAACACATTGAATTTTACTGGGTGTATTTCTAAATTTAATTCTTAACTAATTTTAAACTCTTGTCATATCTATTATAGATAAATTAATTATATTTATTTATTTTATTTCAATTTTTTATATTTTCGTAATGTGTATTTAATATTAATCTTATATTATATGTTACTAGAAATATTTTTTATATCAATAATTGTTTATAAATAAAAATTAATAATTTATTTGTTGTAAAAATTAAAAATAGTGATTTAAAAAATAAAAAAATATTTATATAAATAATGTTGTTTAATTTTTAAGTAATGGTTCGTAATAAAATACTAATTTTATACTTAATAAGCTCTTCTAGACATTTTTGAAAAATGCTAAATTTCTATTCAAATTAAAATAATATATGAATAATAATTTTTAAATAGATAAATGATATTTAAAATAAAAAAATATCATTTATCAATATTAATATATTCAAATATGATCTTTATATAATTAATAATGTAATATTTAAAATAAATTATGTAATATAACTTTTTTAAAATAATAATAACAATATATTTAAGTATAATTCTTAAAGAGAAGAATAAATTTGAAGAAGTGGAAAAGGTGAAAAAAGAGAGTAGAAATTGAAGTTGTTTATATTGTTTTTAGATAGAATATTAAATTATATATATATATATATATATATATATATATATATATATATATATATATATATATATAAATAAAAGAAAATGTTTGATTCTATGATTAGAATTTGGGTTCTTATATATTATGAGGTTTGTTATTTTCAAAGGAAAATGAAGTTTTGCCAAACTTTTGGCATGGCAGAGCCAATTCAACCCTAAAATTGAGGCAATCATGTAACACCCAATCATAGGTTCCCATGTGAATGAGTTACTAAACCTATGTTTTCAATTCTTTTGCAATACAAGTTTTGTCAACAATTAAAAATGTATTTTTCCACTTCTCAATCATCAAACTCACATGGGCAACAAGGAAGAATAAACTAGTGAGATTAGTTATGTCCACCTCAAAATTATTAATTTTTATACATAACACACAATTGTTGGAGGGGACCAAGGAATCCAGGTAACAAAAGTGTATAAACCAGCTCAACATGCATCATCCTAACCATTTTGTTAAATTATCCACACATTGGAAATACCTAAACAGAAAATAAAATACAAAATGAATCACTGAAAAATCTTTGGAGAAATAATTAAATAGAACCATTTGTCATGTAGATAAGCAAATTATTTTTTAATCATACAAATATATTTATTCATTGTAAGATCAAATTAGAGTTTATACTAGTAAATTTTAGGTTTATAATGATAATTATAATCTCTATTAAGTCATGTAGAAACCTCTAAGCTATTGTTCAAATTGTTTAAATATTGATATATAGATATATTCAAATTATAATATTTAAACAAAGTATAATGTTTATTTTTAAAATAGACTTTGTTGGATTGAATTAACCTTAAACTTATATCATAAGATCAATTGTTTTATAAAGATTTAAATTGCTTTTATATTTTAATATAGGATTTTAAAAAAAACTAATGATTTGTTATTTTCAATTGGGTATCTAATAAGTTAAGTATATTTTGGTTTAAATCCTTTCAATTTTTCATGCCAAATGTACTATTGGTATGTTAGATAGGTTGAAACAAATGTTAAGAAACAATTAAAAAAAAATGTTACCTATAATAACAATAACAAGATCATCACTAAATTATAAAAATATATTATTATGATAAAAATTAAATTGAGAAAAAAGGAAATAATAATGAAATACAAATGAATATTATTTTGTAAATATTTTAAAAAATTATAATTTATTACATACTTAATTTCTTTAATAATTATTTAAGATGAGTTTAAACTTATTTAAGTTTATATATATATATATATATATAACTTTATTTAGTTTATGAGTATAGGAGACATTGATTTTGAATCGAACTACAATAATGTGAGGTTCGCACGAAGTATATTCAAAGTTCAAACTCAATTATTTTACTTTAAAAGAAAGGCTATAAAAAATATTATTTTGAGGAAAAAAAAAAAAAGTAACTTCTAAAAAATTGAAAGAAGAAGTGTGGGACTGGAAACCGTTGGCGACAGCTGTATAGCACCGAGAAGCCCAATACAGACACCCTGTCCAACAACCAAACGGGCAGGTTCCGCTGACCGGAAATCTGAGAAAGGATTGCCCAAAATAATTCACCCTTAAACATAATTATATACCAATTTTCATATTTTTTTTATAATTTTATTTTTACGTTGATAATATTTTAATAACTGTTAAATTTTGTCGTGGTAACTTTTTCTTATTATTTAATAAAAATGAAGAAACATATAAGCATAGTATATATCAATTAATATTGTTTTGAAAACATTTATTTAAATGCAGTGTAAAGTGCATGATTTTATAATTGATAACTTTGATGACCACTTCAAAAAGATAAGTATTAAATCACAATAAGGTATGTATATATTGTATTTTTTAATTATATATTCAAATAATTATTAATTTCATTGGTGTTGGATAAATTTTTTGTTATTAAATAAAAAATATAAATAAAATAAATTTGTTAGTAGTTCAAATTGATGATAATAGATCTAAGGCAAAAATAGTATTTGTGCATGACCTTTTCTTCTTGTCCTAATAGTAAATGCCTCATGAATACCAACATTTCTTCGTGGGAAGAGATAAGGCAGCCTTGAAATCCCCGAAAATAAAAAATGTTGGGGCAGGCTGCCCGTTAAGAAACCAACAATCCCTACACATTTGTTGTGTTCTTATTGGACCACCCATATAAAAACACCCTACACCACCTCCTTGCTTTCACCACCTCTTCATCTTCTCTCCCCTTCTCAAGTTTCTTTCTTCCTCAGAGAAAACTCTCACTTTCAGAAGCAATGGAGGCATTGAAGATGAAGCTTTTCTTTGTTGCCATGGCCATGTTGATCATGGCAGCATCAGCTGCAGATTCACCGGCTCCAAGTCCCACCTCCGACGCCACCACCATGTTCGTGCCAACTTCTGTTGCTTCTCTTGTTGCTCTTGCCTTTGGCTTTCTCTTCTGAGTAATAATCAACCATTGTGTTTTCTTCTTCTTCATTCATATTCTTATGTCCCACATTCATTTCCCTTTGTACTTTTCTTATGTTTATATTCCCTTTAATTTCGATTTCATGATGTAATATTATTGTGACTTTTTGGTTTCATCAATTTATTCATCATTGTCCTTTCTTTGGTTTCATTCAGGATTCAATGTACACACACATCTGTTTCATTTCTTAAAATTACATACAATTTTGGAGAGTAACATTTAGTGTTTCATGATGCAAAAATATTTAAAAAATGTAGATAGAAGTGAACAAACTAGAGATATCAAGAGAAATTTAATGAACATAAAAGGCATATTTCAATTTCTTTGCATTAATTCATCCAAAACTTGTACCCAGAAAGAAAAATTAAAATTAGAACAAACTATGTGATTATTCATTTGGAAATCAAAAGAAATTTTATAAAGATTGTATTGGACTTTAGTATTAAATATTATAGTTCATTTAATTTTCTAGATTTTATTTTTACATTTATTTGGTAGAACAATAACTAAAAATCGTTTTACATGTCAAGCCACATTTATACCAGACTCCAAATGTTAAATTAAACATTAAAACGTATTAAATAGAGTTATTGTATATTACTAGCTTTCATCATTTTTTTATTCAATAAAGACTTAAAATCTACAATTCAATAGCTTACTCCATGGATAACACTTCATTATAACATTCAACTTGTTATTATAAAGTTTCTTTATATTTATTTGATTTAAATAAATAACACAATAAACAAGTTTTTAAAGGAATAAATGTTTAAGAAAAAAAGTATAAAGTGATAAAATATAAATTTGTAACATTAATATGTAACTTATTTCTAATGTAATAATAATTTTAATAACATTTTTAAGCATCCTAATTGTTTATTTTTCTTTTATATATATAATTAATTAATTAAATTTGTAGGTAATTTCAATTTAACGACGAATATAAGGTGACTTTGTATGTTCTGATTGACAAAAATGTATTTAAAAATGACAAGGCCAAATCAAAAGACTCACGTAAAATAAATAAGATTAAAATGCATATAAAAATTCTACGAGCCTAGGGTTAGTTTACGAGTGAAATATTTTTAAGAAAAAGTCATTCTTTATAAATGAGAGTTTTAAAAAATATTTATTTTAAAAAATATAAGTTGATTTGAGTCAAAATTTGATTTGAACTTAGTTAATTTATTCTTGATCGGACTAAGTTGGGTTAATGAGAAACAAATTAGACTAGATTGAGACATGTCGAGTTAGAAGAGGTAAAATGGATCAAATAAAGATTAATAAAATTAGGAACATATTGGATAAAAGCAAGCTTATCCTAATTAAACATTATAGGATTGAAACAAATTAGATGAAAACAAGTCCTACATTATATAAAAAAAACTTTAATTACAATTATAAAATAATTCTAACTTCGTATTAAACAATTGTCTTATGAGTTATTATTTATCATTCTCCCTAAAAAAAACAACAATTTAATTTTAAAAATATATTAATTATATAATAAAAAACTACAGGCTAAATTAATTAAAATAAACCTCAATTTTATTATATATATAATAACTTTAATTTTAATGTCATTTCTATCTAATTTAAATGATTAAATGAATATTAATTTAGTTTAACTTAAATCTAAATTTAAACTAAACCAAAAAAAAAAATCCAAAATCAATTAAAGATCTAATATAATTTATTGCATTTATATTGGATTTTTACAAATCTAATTCATACTGATTTTCCTATGAGACGATCTAAAAATTCCTTGACTTAAAAATTGTAAGACCATTATATCTTTTTTATTATTATTATAATTATGCTCATAATACCTTTAATTTTGATGTTTCACATTTTGGCTCATTTAAGAATTTAGTTCATAATTTTTCCCTTAGATGTTTATTAGTTAAGTTGAAGTATATGTTTAGTTTTTTTATCTTATTATGAAAATTGATTTTAGTTTTTATCTATTAAAAGATTCTAATAAGTTTTTCAAAAGTGGAAAGTATCAAGATGGGTTTTAAAAAAAAAAAAGCTAAAATAATATATCACATGTTTTTTCTATTTTATCTTTATTGCTAGTAAAATAATTATCATGCAATAGTGTTAGGGAAGACCAAAATGTAAAATATCATTAATTTGATCAATTAGAACCTACCAAAAAAATATGTAAATCTCAACCTTAAGAAGAGTTGTCAAAATTGTAGTAGATGAAATAAAATACGGACATTTCTTTGCAACAACATGTTTTATGATTAAGAAATTCAAATAAAATTATCTTATATATATTAGTTGTACAAAATACATGATTCATGATAAAAAAAAAGTTCTAATGACTTAACAAATATGTTATTTTTAAAGTAAAAATTGATAATGAAAAGAATGAACGACGTAAAAGAAATTAAAAGTCATTTGCGTGAAAAATTAATTTTTGATGTTTTTTATATTTTTGAAGTTAATCAAAATTTGTTAAGTATTATTCTATTGTTAGAAAAAAATATCTTTTGAACATAAAATTTATGTGATTAAAGATGCAAAAACTTAGAAGTATTCAAAATTCACATTACATGCAACAATTTTACTTTAATTTTAATTTTGATGAAGAAAGAGTTAGCTACAAATAAAATTATAAAAGAAAAAGAAAAAAATACATATTTTTTGAAGAAACTTAATGTCTCGGTTATAATAAAGATGCAGTTGAAGAACCACCTTCCAATATTCATTAAAGTTTCAGTAATGTTATCATAAAGTGTAAAAGAAACATCAATAACGAAATTAACGAAGAAGTAAAATTAAATGAAAAGATGGTTCCAAAAAAATATTTAATAAATAGGTAGAATCATTATAAAAATATACAATTTAGCAAAAGAATCTATGTGTTGATTCTCATATGCTTTGTTGGGAGTTATGGGGACTACGAGTTCATCATAATAACCATGCCCCTTGATTCCTTTTATCATTTCCATGTGAGTGATTTGCCATTTGTAGAAACCATAATCAAATAAAAATAGTATTGCAGGAAGAGGAAATAAAGTTTGGGACAAGACAACATAAAAAAGAAACTTATTATTTTAAAAGTATGTTTGGTCTTATTCAGAGTACAACGTAATAAGCTACAACAACACAATATCAACATCCTATGTGTAATCAAGAAAATAACAACATAAAACATGAAAATGAATGTAGGATGCCTGGTGACTACCCCATCCACCCTCTTCCAAGAAAAACTAAAAATTCTCCATTCAAAATGACATGTTAAAAAGATTTGTTCTAGAAGAATAATATATATATATATATATATATATATATATATATATATATATATATATATATATATATATATATATGCGCTACACTTGCCCTTGACTTCTTCACAATTTTTTCAATATTAGAAGCTCTAAACTTCCAACTTTAGGTATAAATTTCAATAGACGTGTGGTAGAAGCCAATAATTCTAAAAAATATTGATCATTTCTAACAAATAGCTAATAATAGTGTCCAAAAACAAAAGAGATAAACTACATTATGTTCATCAAGTGACAATATATATCATGTTAATTATTTTACTATTTTTTAGTGTCATCCATTGCTTATAATTATGAAATAATGGTAGCACATAGTGTGAGAACAAAGTCCCACATCTGTGGGTACTTCAAAGGGGGTATGGGTGAGTGGTTATATAAGAAACCACATACCCCCCATTCTATACATCCCAAAAAAATTCCTTTCCTTCTCTAGTATTAGAAAGTGTTGTCAATTTTAGGACTAGAGAAGGGGTGTGTAATCTTTCCTTGCTATTATAAAATTTCTACTTTTGTCCATTATTGCTATTCTATTTTTCTCTTCTCTATTTTAGTTGAGTTCTTGTGCTAGTCTGATACCTAACAGTGGTATCAGAGCCACGTTCTTATTCCGTTGCGCTAGTCACTAGAATAGTGTTGGTAAAATTCTGAGTATGCTCTGTGGTTGCGGTTTAATCTGATCTTCCACATCAGAAAAGAGTTGTTACTGGAAAAGGTGTAGTAGTGTGAAACTGTTGTCTGGGGAAGTTCTGGCTAGGAAAGACTTGGTACTTAAGTGTGTCCATTAGTGACTCACCTCTCTTTCCTGGGAACTTACCTAGTGTATTGGTTCACGGTCTACTACTATTGTTCCAGTAGACAATACTATTCATAAGTGAGAGTTGCATAAGTAGAAACACAACTATGGCAGCAAAGTATGAGATAGAGAAGTTCAACGGGAACAATTTCTCGTTATGGAAATTGAAGATGAAGGCAATTTTGAGAAAGGACAATTGCCTTGATGCAATTGAAGGAAGACCCGCAGAAATGACGAATCAGAAGTGGAAGGAAATTGACGGAAATGCTATAGCAAATTTGCATTTAGCAATGGCAGATTCCGTACTATCCAGTGTTGCGGAAAAGAATACAGCAAAGGAGATTTGGGATGCCCTCATCAAATTATATGAGGTGAAGTCTCTTCACACAAGGATATTCTTGAAGCGGAAACTCTACACTCTTCGGATGAATGAGTCCACATCGATGACGGACCACATTAATCATCTGAACACCTTATTTGCCCAACTATCAGCAGCAGATTTCAACATAGTTGAAAATGAACGTGCGGAACTTCTACTTCAGAGTCTACCAGACTCATACGATCAACTCATCATCAACATAACAAATACTAATATGGAAGGAAATCTACGCTTTGAGGATGTTGCCGGAGCTACTCTAGAAGAAGAATCCAGACGCAAGAATAAAGTAGATAGATTGGAAAATTCCAAGCAAGCAGAGGCTTTGACGATGATGAGAGGAAGATCAACAGAGCATGGCTCCAGTGGGAGTCAAAACCATGGTAGATCAAAATCTCGAGGAAGGAAGAATTTCAAATGCTACTATTGTGGCATGAGAGGGCACTTGAAGAAAGATTGTTGGAAGAAGAAAAATGTAGAGAAGTCTTCTGAGGCAACTACAT